CGTGAGAGTCTCTCAGAGACACACAGCCCTGTTCTCATGATGGAAGGCATTTTGTGTACATCGACAGAGGCCCTCCTGTGATTTGGACACAATGACCTCACCGAGAAGACAAGTCCAAACACCCAACCTGTGGGAGTGGTGGGGGTTAGGAGGGTGCAGTCTAAAGCTCACTGCAAGCTGAAGCTGACACTCCGGTGACCTGTGATGGGGGCAGGGACCAGGCCTCTTTCCCTGGGTAGTGCAGGCTGTCTGCACGGTGCTACCACTTCTTCGGTACCATTTGACTTCCCTGCATCCCTGTGTTGTGTGTGGAATCTGCAGGTAGTCCTTCACTGCAAGGCCTTGGGAAGACACATATCATCCCCGGGACAGGCCCAAAGAGGGCGACACTCCTCTGTAATGATCCTAGCCCAAGCCTCTTCCCCTGTCCTTCCATATCCCAAAGAGCTCCATCCCACCCCACAACCACATGGGACAGTTAACAACAGCTCCTAGGAAGGACGTAGGAGTTGGACAAGGCCGGTGGTGCCTTGAATTGAAGCTCACTTGGAAGGGCCTCAGGGCAGGTGACAGGCAGGGGTCTCATCAGGACTTCCTTCACGGTTGAGCACGCTACTCTCTGGTTCTCTTTTGCAATGTTGCAGGTCACCCACATACATCTCTTTACCTTGCCCCAAAGCTCAAAGCAACACAGGACAGCTGTTACCGCTTCGGCTTACAGAAGGGGAAACTGAGGCACAAAACAGTAAAAGGACTTGGCCTCTGGACTTCTTGTGCTCTTCACTTTCTCTTCACCTTCAGGACCATAGCTCTCCATGTCCCCACCCCTAGCTGTTTCCCATGAAGCATCTGGACAGGGAGAATGTGGGCAGCGGAGCACCTGGAAGGGAACTCACCGTTTTTATCCGCGCGACGGAAAATCTGGAGAGAGGAGGGCTGAAGTCAGTCCTGAGATGAGCCTGGGCAGGTGCCCTGAGCAGCCTCATAACCCAGCTGAGATCTCTCTCCCAGGAGCAGCTTGGGGGAGGCTTGGGAAACCCAAACTTCCCCAGGAGACCTCGAGGCTGGGACCCAGGGTGGAGAGACTGCAGCAGAGACCTTCCCCACCCTTCATAAGCTATCAATCCCTCTCCCGCTGCGCTGTAGGCCTGCCCACGGCTACTGACAGACACACACACACACATTCGTGCTTACACACTCACACACACCCACATGCATCTTGGCAGGTGCATGCACACTCATCCTCCACCTCTGAGCACACAGCTGCACCCAGCCATGCTCAGAAGCCCATGAGGGAGCCCCACGCCTTCCCACGGTTTCCAGGACCCACCTCCTCTTGCCCTGGCTTGCCTGGGTTCCTTCTGAAGGAGGTGATCTTGAAACCTGGTGACAGGATCAGCCCACAACAAGTATGGTGTCATTATGGGATGGGGGAGAGGCAGGCAGGGATGTTCTGGTTGCAACTAGCAGAGATGGGATGGGGAAGAGTCCTAACCTGGGACCTGCACTTTGAGACACTCATTCTCTGCTTTGCTGACATTTGAATCTGTTAAGGTCAGTTGAATGGTGGGTGCTGGGTTCTCGGAGCCAAGAGACTGTTCTAATAATTGCAGGTCACTCCCAAAAGCCGCTCTACCTGGGCCATAACTCAGGCAGGTGAGCCAGCAGCTCCTGACAGATCAAGGTGTCTGCTAAAGACCCCCGACTCATAAGAAAGGGGATTTGATGTCCAATCCTGGACCCACTGAATCAGAATTGTCTTTTAACCAACTCCCTGTGGGGTTGATGTCCCAGTACTGTAAGGTCTGAGATGGTCCCAGGGCCCTGGAGGAACTGGCTCCCCTATCCAGAAGAAGAAGTCAGCCTATACCATGACCAGATCCTCCAACTCCCTGAGTTTTCCTAGACGCAGTCTGTCAGGGATCTGCTAAGCCAGACAAGATGTGCCACTCTCCCTGAGTCAAAGGACAGATGGCTCTGCTCACCTGCTGCCCACAAGCAACTGGACAAGGGAAATGTGTGCTCTCTGGGTACCCATTGACCTCAAGAGGCCTGGGTGTCGAAATGACTAGGTTATGTGGCCTTAAATGACACCAGGTAAATTGGCTCCCAGAGCCAGCATGAGTGACATTTTCCCTCTACTCCTTTCCCCACCCCATAGGGGAAGAAAGAGGCTCAGCCAGCACACAGCACCAAGTGCAGAGGGAGGGGCTGAGCAAGGCTTCCCTGAAAGAGGGCAAGCCACCACCTCTACTCTGGACTCTGCCTGGATCCTGCTGTGTGTGTGCACATCTGTGTGTTTATGTGTGTGTATGTGTGTGTGTGTGTGCACTTCCTCATGTGTGTGTGTGTGTATGTGTGCACACATGTGTGCAGGTTCTGAGATCTAGCAAGGGAAGCAAAGTGGGGGATCGGGTTTCTAGTCTCCCTGACACTTGTAGGGGTGTGTGGTGCACACACACACACACACACACACACAAACACAAACACACACACCACATGAATTCATGCACACACTCAAAACTACCCCAATTCTCTCAGAACCCCATAACATGTACAGGCACCCCTGAGACCAGTTCCATCCCCGCCACGGACCACCAACCCTCTCCTGTCTATATGTCACCTCCACTCTGCGGGGGGTGGGGGGCGGTGTGGTGCATGAGGAACTAGGTGGGGTGAGGAATGAGTCTGGGGTCCAAGAGTCAGGAGGAAAGAACAGGAAGAGCGTGAAGGAGGACAGATGCTCAGGGTGGAGCTGGGGGGTGAGGCCCCCTAAGTCTAGGCAATGATTCTGATTCTATGGAAACGGAGGAGGTGGGGAAGGGGCTTCACTCGCAAAGTGGGCTCAACTTCCTCCGCAGAGAAGAGAGCCTCGGTGGATCGGAGCCGTGTGTGTGACTGGTCTCAGAGAAGTATCATCAGTGCAGAGAAGAATCCGGGATAGAGAGGAGGGGGCTGGCGGTCCCCAGCTCTTGTCCCAGTCATAGAGACTCAAATGAGGGTTTAGTTAGGACCAGACGGGGAGAATAGCTCTGGGGGACCTATTGGATGCGGGGGGGTTTGGGAATACGAAGGGAGGAGATGAAGAGGGTCGTGTGGTTCCAGTGGGGACAGGCGCCCCAGCCACGATGAAAAGGGAGTTGGGTGGATCCATGCTACGGAATTAGTGGAAGCGGGAACGTGGAGGGAGGTGACTGAGGAGAGGGTCCTTGGTCTGGGTGCGAACCCAAGCCTCAGCCGCGATGGGGTGGTGGGAGGGCTCGCGCTGGAAGTCCCCACGCGGAGGAGGTCCCAGGCTATGGGATATGGGGATGCAAGGAAGGGGAGGAAGAGGATGGAAGTGAGCATCATACGGTCCGGGTGGAGTTGGAGGCTCGGAGGGGGTGTCCCTGCGGGAAGAACGGGTCCCAGCTATGGGATGCGGGATGTAGAGCTGACATAAAGTGGAGAGAGGGATGGAGAGAATCGTGAGGTCTGGGTTGGTAGACAGGCGCTTCAGCAGCAATTTGAGTTGGGGCTTGCGCTCGGGGTCCCCGCGCCAAGGAGGGTCTCTGCTATAGGATGCGAGGATGCGGGAACGGGCAGGGAGCGAGTGGTGGAGAGGGTCTTTGGGTCCCGGGTGCGGATTGGCACCCAGCCGCGCTGGGCGGAGGGTCCCCCGCGTACTCACGTCCAGGATGACGGCTGTGCCCCCTCGCGGTACGACGGGCCCGGGGCCGGGGTCCGCGGCGGGGATGTCGGGGACGAGCGGTGCGCGGGGTTCCCCCATCCTGGCGCCCACCCAGCGCAGCAGCCCGCCCAGCGCGCGGCCCTGCGGCGGCGGCTCCCGGAGCAGCCTGTGCGCGCCGGCCCTGCACAGGCGCGCCGCCCGCTCGCACAT